ATAGAAGGAAGGTCAAGCCGACAATTTAGAGATAACTCCTTGTTGCCTTTTCCAGCATCGCCGCTATAATAATGTTATTCGTTATCCTTCCTCCATGCTTCTTTTTCCTTATGTTCGCCGTACCCTGCGCATTCTCCCCATCCTCAGCTCTTTTTTGCGGAGGCTCCTCCTTGGAGAGACTCTGGGGACCTCACAAAAGTTGTTTCAGGCTTTCTCAAGGCCTTCTGGAGGCCTCCTGGGCGTATTCTGGGGGCCTCTGGGGACTTCCTCGGGCCACCCTGCCTCCAACCGCGGTCTCCCTGAACGACCGGGTCACGATTTGGAATGCTTCGGAGGGTGTCTTGGGGCCATCTTGGGCCGCCATGGGGCTCTCTGAGGGCCATCTTGGACCCGTGTTGTGCCGTTTTGGGGCTCTCTTGGACTGCCTGGAAGCCCTTTCGGATGGTTGTGGGGCGATGTTGGAGCCTCCCAGGCGGCTTGGACGCCCAGAAGACCGCCGTCTTGGAGCGTCGGGAAGCCGAAAAGAGGAGAACCCCAAAATTCAGCAAAAACCAACAGAAAATCAAAGATTTGTGCCTTTGGGGGCCTTCTTGGGAGTGCTCTTGGAGGCCTCTTTGGGGCCGTCCTGGAGGCCTTTTGGGCCATCTTGAGGTCACGTCGGTCACTCTTGGAGCGCTCTTGTGCTGTCTTGGGGGTCTCTGCAACGTCTCCGATGACCCCCCTGATCGCCCTAGGCGTGCTGGGAAGGCTTGGCAAAACGCCCTGTGAGGCCCGGGGGGCCTTCCCGCCCGTCCAGAGGGTCCCAGACCCACACGGGAGTTTTTTGGGGGGGGGTGGATGGGTTTTCCCCCCGCCCGGGCTTGTAAAAATATAGGAAGAGGAGTATATATATATATATATATATATATATAATATATATATATATATATATATATATATCGGCCCGACCTCATACCATCGCCTCCTTCTCCTCCTCCTCCTCCTCCTCCTCCTCTGACCTTTCGTCCAGCCCGGTCCTTTGACAGCACCGCCAGCAGCGCAGCGCGCCCCCTCTCCGACGGGGGAGGGGGGGAAACGCAGATTTGGACGCCCGAAATGGGTACGGAAAGAATGGGTACAATGCCTCACAACACTGGTTGTCCCAAACCAACAGCGGCCGCTGTTGGGCAGGCGGCCTTCTGTCTCGAATGGACACAGGCCGCGGCGGCGTGGACAGCGAGTCCTGTTCAAAATGATCAAGATCCGCTGTTGGGCATTGTGTATGGGCAACAAAAAGTGTCATGAACATAAAAACTCGGAGGTCCGCGCGGATTTCTCGGATCGGCGCTGGACCCCCCTCCCTGGCGCGCGGAGCGCGCCAGGGGCGGCGCCGGAGGCGCCGCCAGGAGGCCCCAGCGCCAATCCGAGAAATCCGCGCGGACCTCCGAGCTTTTATGTTTATGCCACTTCTTGCTCCCCTATTGTACCCACTCTTTCCGTACCCATCCCGTTCGTGCCGATCCGAGAGGGTGGGGCACGGTCGCGCGGCCGGCCGGTCGGCCGATCCGCTGTTGGGCATTGTACCCATTCTTTCCGTGCCCAGTTCTTTCGTGCAGAGGCAGAGCGCCCAGGCCTTCCACCTGCGAGAGGGGGCGCCCGCCCCGGGGATCGACCTCCAAGGAGCCCCGCGTGCCCCGCGCGCGCCTCGGCACGGGGGCGCGGGCCGGCTCCTGCCCGAGGCGACGCGGCTGGCTTCTGGCGCCGCGCGCAGGTCGCAAGATCTCCAGTGAAGGGGCCCTGGGACACACAGATAAATACACACAGACATAACAGGATTCCCCAGATGTTCCCCTACATCTTCTGGGGTTGTGTCTTCCCCCCCCACTTTCCATATTTTCCCTTATTTTCCGGGGAGTCGACGATTCATTGTGCCTGTGTGTTTCTTTCCCTCCTGATCCAGGTCGCCTCAATTTTCAGGTCGGGCACGTCCTCCTACAGGCGGACGTTGTACGAAGAACGACGAATAGCCAAACAGACCCCGAGATAGGCAAACGTGCCAGAAACATCGTCCCCGGCCTACTGTTTGACCATTCTTGACCATTCCGCCTGTGGAGGGACAGGCCAGACTGCAGCGTATCTTGGCGCCCCCGCGGCTGACTTTCTCGAGTGACCTAACCCACAGCGGAACTCGTGCATCGGCGGCGAGCCCGGCGGAAGTCAGCCGTGGCGGGCCTGCTCAGAAGGCCCAGAAGTCCCCCCGGCCTGCCGAGAAGGTTCCCAAGTTGGGCGCCCGAATTATCCGGGGTAACTCGGGTTCGGGGTGATTCGGGTTTGGATTCCCGAAAGACGAACCCGAGTTAGCCCTGACCCGAGATACCCCTGATGATTCTGGGCTCTGGACGCCCGAATTATCCGGGGTAAGACGGGTCCGGGGTAAGTCGGGCTCGGAATCCCGAAAAACGAACCCGAGTTAGCCCTGACCCGAGCTACCCCTGATGATTCCGGGCTCTGGACGCTCGGGGTAAGCCGGGTCCGGGGTAAGTCGGGCTCGGAATCCCGACAAACGAACCCGAGTTAGCCCTGACCCGAGCTACCCCTGATGATTCGGGGTTCTGACCAAGCGCCTTCCCAGAAGTCGGGAGCGGCCAAGAGGGGGGTGTCCAAGTGGGGGGGGTGCAAATCATGACCGGCGGCACCTGCGCGGCCCAGCGGGGGGGCCGGGGACGTAATGAAATAAGAAGGGGCGCCATGAAATCTGGGGAAATATCATGGCCCCCGCCATGATATCCACCCCCCCCTAGTCATCACCCCCCTCTTTGCCGCCCCCGATTCCCGAAGAAGGCACACATGGCACTTCTCAGGAGGCCGGAAAGCCTCTGAGAGGCCCCGCCGCCTTCTGAGAAGGCCCTCGCCTTCTCGTGAGCAGGGACCGACCGTTCCGGCAGTCCTGTAAGCCTACCACGAAATTGTCCTAACACACAGAAGTGTTCCAAGAGCGAGAACATTGTTTTAGAAGGTAAAACCGATGTGTACAACGAGACGGTCTCAGCCACAAACGTTCAAAACAGGCTCTTAGCACAATATTTCGTGTGCCTATAGTTCGGTGGCAACTCATGGGAGCCTCCTATACCATCTTGTCGGCTCTTGCGAATAGACGCTAGTCGACGATGAATCGACGCTAGCCGACGCTAGCCGACGCTAAGTCGGCGCTATCCCATTGGCTTCCAGACGCCAGCCGACGCGGAAGACATAATGATGACGGTAGACAGGGCTCCCATGATTTGCTGCCGAGCTCAAGGCAAGCAAGGACGCCTCGCCACTGCGCGCTTCTTGCTTCCCCCCCTCACTCGCCGCCGAGATCAAGACTATCCTGGCGCAGGCCGGCAGCGCCAATTCACACATCGGGGATCTGCTGACCCGGGTCAATCCAGACCCAAGTCAATCAGGCCTCTTGCAGAATCCTGCAGGATCCTGCACCCAAACCCGGGTCAACCCGAATGATCCTGCAAGATCCTGCAGGATCATGCGCACAAGCCCGGGTCAATGCGACCCTGGCCCTGCGGGATCCTGCAAGATCTGGCGCTCTGACTGACCCCCGTTTGCATTGACCCCCGTCTCAAGGCTCCCGAACACACCCCTGGGCGCCCGCGCCAGCGCCGCCGACCCGCTATGGGGCGTGAAAACGACCACAGCCACTGCTTTTCTTCTGTTTGCCGCCTTCCAGCCAGCACAATCAAAGCAGTGGTTGTGGTCATTTTAGGTTAGCTTGGCACCAGGGAAATGACCACAACCACGTGCTTCTTTCTCGGCCGGCTGGAAGATGGCGCAAACAGGAAGCAGTGGCTGTTTCTCGCCCCCTTCAGCTGCCCTCTCTTTCTCCTCTGCATTTCGCTCGACCAGCTGAACTGATCTATTCGAGGCCTCGCCCCTATGTATGGGGTGAATCTTGGTCAGCCTGACTCCTTTGTCTTGGAGCCACGGCCAAATATCATCGTATTTTTCTTCGTTTTTCCAGTCCCGCACCCGCGTCGACGAGGGTGGGCGAAGGGCCTGACGCACGGGGGAACGCCCGCCGCCCTGCGAGGAACACGCTCTCCCGCGGTGCAGCGGCGCCGCGCCCTCCTGCCTCCGGTCTCGGGAGCCGCGGCCGACAGGCAGCAGCAGCACCCCGGACCCTCTGGGAGCCAGGTTAGCCCCTCCCTTTTATTACGAAATCTGGAGTAGCAGGGCCGACGAACAGCACACGTCTGTCGGAAGAAGCAGGCAAAAACATGAAGCACCCCGGACCCTCTGGGAGCCCAGCTAGCAGGGCCAACGAACAGCACACGTCTGTCGGAAGAAGCAGGCAGAAGCATGAAGTACCCCTGACCCTCTGGGAACCAAGCTAGCAGGGCCAACGAACAGTACACGTCGGTCGGAAGAAGTAGGCAGAAGCATGAAGTAGGAAGGCGGATATAGTGGATTGGGTCCAGGCCCCCCCCGAGAATAACAAAACACGGCAAAAGCGTATCGATTCCGGCAGCAGGAAGGCGCTCGAAGTAGGTTGGGATCTGGGAATCCAAAAATACCTACTTTCAACGACCGGCGTGTAGGGACAGGGGGCCAGCTCTGCAGTCGCACTCGCACTCGCACCCGCACTCTCGTCAGGACACGATCCATTGCCATCCTCGGGCCGGAGCGTGCAAGTCGTGGCCTCGAATGTCTGCAGATGCATTCGACCAAAAACAGCCCAGACGCGTGTTACCAGCCTGGAACATATCCCTATCCCCATGCTGGGCATCGCCCCATCACGATGCCAATCTTAGGGGGTCCCTCAGTTTTTGAGGGCGCATCCCTAGGATTGCCATCGCCTGTCGGCGCGTCAATCTTAGGGATAGGGATCAGTTCGAGGCTGGTGAGTGTATCCCTAATGCGAGGACGGGGGCGGAAGCGAGGACACGCCTTCATCGCGCCAACAAGGTCAGGAGTTCTGTTTTCTTCCCCGCCGACTAAGTCCGTGAGGAGCGCTCGGCCTCCGTCTGGGCCTATACTCCGTGCGGACTCGGCCTCTCCTGATAGGAGGGCCAAGTACGCGCGGAGCAGGCCCGAACTGAAATCTCGGCCTCTGCCTGGGCTTACGTGCTCCGTCCAGACTTTGGACCCTCCTGACAGGAGGCCGAGCCCGTGCGGACTGTGTCGGCACGGAGAGCTCAACCTCCGTCTGGGCCTACTCCGTCCGGACTTTTTGGCCCCTCCTGACAGGAGGCCGAGTCCGCACGGGGCAAGACCGTAGGGAGTGCTCGGCCTCCGTCTGGGCTCACCTGCTCCTGGCCTCTCCCGAAGGAGGCCAGCTCCGCGCAGAATAGAAGTCCGGCGGAGTGCTCCGTCCCCGTCCGGGCCTGCGCCGTCCAGACTCCGCCTCTCCCGGAAGGAGGACTCCGCACGGAGCCCGCGGCCTCCGTCAGGGCGTCCTCCGTCTGGACCGATGGGCTCTCTTGGCAGACTGGGCCCAAGGCATGAGCGTGCAATTCTGGAAGCGGGCTCGCCATGTCGGCGTGGCACCCCGTGCGCCACACCCCTCCCCTGGCGAGCTCACACGCGCCGTGGGGGGGGAGGCGAGGGTCCGGCGCCGGCCCTCGAGACCTGCGCGGACCCCAGAAAAGCGTGTAGGTGCACCCTTTCCTGCCACGTCGAATCGCTCTTGTTAAGGGGCCCACAAACGCACAGATGAATACACACAAATCCCAGGAACCCCCATATTTCCAAATAGTTGCTGGGTTTATGTTTTACCCCCCCCCCAACCCCCATATTTTCGCAATTTTGCAAATTTTCCCTGGAATCGGCGATCAATTGCGTCGGTGTGTTTCTGTTCCCTCCTGATCTTTGGTGACGCGGGCCTCTGGGGATCTCGACCCTTCCTCACGGCCGAATCGTCTGCTTTTCGTCGGCCCCGAAGGCGGGCAGACGGCCTTGCAGAATCGGGAAGCGTCCGAAGAGCAACGTCGCGATCCGCTCGGTTACGAGGCCCAGGTCTGAGGCATGCCGCTTGCCCATGGAGGCTCCCAGTGGCTTGCAGAGAGGCCTCCAGGGGCGTCCGAAAAGGCCGAGCACCCATCTTCCATCCTCGAGGTCAGAGGCCCAGATAAGACGTCAACAAGAAATACCGAGTTGTGCATTCGAAGACAAGATGAGTAAGGAACCAACGGGGAAGCCACAAGTTTGGGGCGTGCTTCAAAATTGCTTCCCAAAACATTCCGTTGATGAATGGTCGGAAGAATTCGTATCCCTGACTACTGGGATGACCGTGAGGGGCTCTACGTGGATAGGAGGTTACAAGTGGATGCCAAGGTCGGTTACATCTGGCCAACATCCACTCGGGACACTTGTCACCCACTTACAAGCCAGGTCGGGCCAGATATAACCCACATTATCATCCACTTGTAACCCCCCTATCCACTTAGAACCCCACACGGTCAACCCAGTAGTTCCTGGACGACCACAGGGGCCTCGAGTAAATCTGACACATTGCTGCATGTATCGCATGATGCGTCTACATGCATCCGACGAGCTCCATATGGGTCACCTCTTGAATCCCCCCCACACGCACAAGAATCAACACTACCATACTCACTCGACGACACCGTTACACGTTACACGTCCGTACAGTGGGCGCGGGCCGCAGGCGCCGCCGAACGCGCAAACAAATCGCGGAAACCTGTCTGCACCGACCGCATGGCGAACAGCCGATTCTGTAGAGACATCCAATTTGTATTCGAAACGGTGCCCGAACATCCAACGGTGCCCTAGAGTGACCGAAACCAGCACCCGGTTTTCCCGAACGTGCCCGAGTCTGACCGATTTGGTTAGTTCGAAACCAACGCGATGGTCCAAGTCGGTTGCAAAGTCGGTAGCACTCCATTACCTCTTCCGTTACCGCTCTGGTTGCTATTCGGTACGACTCCGTTTTCGGCGGATATCGGCTGATCGCCATGAGAAATCCGATCGTCCATCCTCGAGGGCGCGAGAAATCTGATCCCTCTCGGCTAGACGCAAAATTCGGTACCCTGGGCAAGAGTGACCTTTGGAGTGCGGCCGGAGGGGGGCCCTTTGGAGATGCCACCAGGCGCGCAAGCCGCTGCTGTAGAGGCTTCCCAGATGGGGGCCGAGTAGATAGGGTCGAAAGATCGCGCGGCATCGCCGATGCAGCCCGGGTGCGGCTCGATGTGGAGCCCGACTTCTCCACGCCGACGTCGCCGATGCATCGCTTACGCGGTGCGATCCTTCGACCGCATCTGTTCGGACCCCATCTGGGAGGCCCAGATGCTATCGCACCGCATTCAGCGATCGGGGGGCCACACACGTAGTGGACCCGCACCAAGGCTCGCTCGGGCGAGATGGCACCACGACGTGCAGCCGACCCTGGCACTGCGGCGGGATGGCCCATTGGCCCAGAGGGGCGATGCATGGGGCGACTCGGGGTGGATGCTCCCCCCGCCCCCTGTGCCTCGTGGGCTCCACGATGGACAGGAGGGTGGGCATCATGCCGAGGAGGACGAGGGGGAGGAGGGGGAGGGGGAGGAGGGGGAGGGGGGAGGAGGAGGAGGGGGAGGAGGGGGCGGAGGAGGAGGAGGAGGGGAGGAGGAGGAAGAGGAGGAGGAGGAGGAGGAGGCAGAGCGAAGCAGGCAGCTGCACCCCCGACGAACGATCGCGGCGCTGCCCGCCGGGCTGCCGCCCTCCGCGGGCGCGGGCGCGCCGCGCGCCGCGCGCCCGTCGCCGCCCAGCCCGCGGCGGGGTGGGGCGCCCGCGGGCGCCGCGAAGGCGGTGGCCAGGCAGGCCCCGGCCGCCGCGGCGAGCAGCGGGGCCGCCAGCCTCGGCCGGGAAGCGCCGCGCGGCGCGGGGAGGTCCGCTCGTCGACGGACGACGACGACGACGACGACGGACGAACGACGACGACGACGACGAACGACGACGAACGACGACGACGACGACGACGACGACGACGACGACGACGACGACGACGACGACGACGACGACGGTGCGCAGAGGGGGGCAGGGGGGGGGAGGGGGGGAAGGCCTCTGCGAGAGAAAGAGGCTGCTTCTCACAGGGGCTCCCAGCTTCGCACTTCGCGCTGCGCGAGGCGCGAAGCGCGAATCACTTCGCGCTCTCGCGCCGCCTCCCAAGGGGAAGAGGAGGACGAGAAGGAATCGGAGCCGAAGCGCGAAGCGCGAATAACTCCGCGCCCTCGAGGGCGCCCTTGTTCTCAGGAGGCGCTGGCCCTACACCTGCAGACAAGGCCGGCGCCTTCTGAGAAGCAGGGGCGCCTCCGAGAAGCCTTCTCCCCTCCCCCCCTTACCCCCTTCTGCGCGAGGCCGAGACCAAGGGGGGCACCTCGACCGCGGCGACGCCGACGCCGCCGAATCCGTGCCCCAAATCCGCTCGAGATCGATCATCGAACTTCGAGCCTCGCTCATCGAACTTCGAAGCAAACCTCCTGAAGCGCCCAAAAGACTACCGCAACGACGACGACGAGGACGACGGCGGCCACGGAGGCCACGGAGGCCACGGCGCCAGCGCCAGCGCCGACGACGAAGCCGACGACCGCCGACCGACGACCACAACGACGCCGACGATGCCCACGACGTCGCCGACAACCCTGAGATCCGACGCTGCAACACAAACATACACCAGGATGCCAAATCACCCCGCGAGCCCCGGGTGCTGATCTTCGCGAGTCGCCGTTCCAGACGGATCGATCCGTCAGGGCCCCGGGGGCCCCCAACCGGGCGAAAACGCACGTTGTAAAAGAAGGGAACAACATACTCCAGATTTCGTAATAATAAAAGGGAGGGGGTCTGGACCCTCCAAGACAAGCCATTTCAGACCTCCCCCGTGGGAGAACCCTCCAAAACATCGTCCCCAGACCCCCCAGGCGCTCCAAGATAGCCTGGAAGAGACCCCCCCCGAAATGAGACCCCCCTTCCTTTATTACGAAATCTGGAGTACACATCAACTGTTGTCGCTCCGCGCGGATTTCTTGGATCTGCGCTGGGCCCCCCCTCCCCAGCGCGGAGCGCGCCACGCAGGGGAGGCGCCGTGGGCACCGCCGGGGGGGCGCCGCCGGAAGGGGGCCCTGCGCCGATGCAGGAAATCCGCGCGGAGCGCAAACAAAGTCCTTTTCATGCCGCTTGTTCTGCTTCGACTGGTGTGAAAAAAAACTGCAACTCCCAGATCCGAGGGGAAGCCGGCGACTTCGTCGACACGCCTCGCAAGAGTAGTACTAGGAGGAAGAGACTAGGGAGAAGGGGGAGGAGAGGAGGAGGGGGAGGAGAGGAGGAGG